TTTTTTCTTCCCCCCCCCCCCCCAAAAAAAAAAAAAAAAAAAGAAAACTCCATTTCTGAAATTTTACAAACTTCTGAGAGCCAAAAAATACGTCCAGAAGTTTCACAGGTGCTTCAGGACGTTAAAACATGGCAGCCACGACTGGGCTCGGAGACAGGCCTGACGCACAGGGAGAACGGGGCTACTTGACGATAAGAGCCCTTTCGTTTGGTCTAAACCATCCTTTTTCTTATCAAATGATGTACACAAACGTACATCACCTCTTACCTTCCCCAGAACCCATTCTCTGAGCGGCTCCTGCCAAAACCTTCGCCTGGACCGCAGCGGGTGGCTGGATGGCATCAGGTTGCTGTCTGCTGGGCGCCTGGCTAGAGTGCTTTTGAAAAAGTCCAGGTGGCAACAGAATGTCCTGGTGGGTTCATGGCAAAGCTGTGTGTTACACCTTATTTGACATTATAAACTACCTCTTAGAATGAAATAAGCATAACTATCAAAAATACAATACTAGAAAATAAACACCTGCATTTTAGATCACTCAGAAGGTGCAGGCGAATGGCATCTACCCCAGGAAGCTGGGTAAAGTAGTATCAGAGGAGGCAGCGGAGGTAACTAACCTTAGCACTTGTCTTCTCTCCCCACCCTATTTTGTAAAATGTCACACCTTGCTCCTCCTCAGACACAGTGGTGCGAGCCACTGTGGCGGCCTTTTGTTCTGTTATCTTTGTTCTACGTGTGTAGGCCTGAGGACTCCAGAGCCCGGCTTTTTCATGGAGCTCTGCGCACCAAGTACCTGCAGGGTGAACCAGCACATGTTCTTCTCCATCTGGCCTCCGTTCTTCCCTCATCGTGAAATTCACCTTGGTTAGCACCTGTCTGCGTCTGAGCTCAGCTACTGAATAACTGTGTCCTTGGTCAAATTACTGGATCCTTTGTGTCCCAGCTCCCTCATCCATGGCACAGAGCCATGACAGCCCCCACCCACACAACACGCCCAACAGTCAGCAAGTTCATCTGTGGGGTGCTCTCCGACAGGTTGGCTTACCCCCAGTGCTGCATACCGAGGTGTGACTGTCATGTGACAGCCAGAATCAACCTGGAGGCCGTTAAGTGGGTGAAATAGGCCTGCCCAGGAAGATAAGTAGTGCTTCCTGACATTATCTTATGTAAAATCTGAAAATCCTCTTACAGAAACAAGAGTAGAGCTGAGGAAACTGAGTCTGAGTCAAATGACCAGCAAGGAGCAGAGCCCCAAGAGCCAAACAGGAAGCGTATCCCTTGGCACCTTCGAATCTCCCAGAATGCTTAGCTCTTGATGGCATTGAATGGGTGTTCAATACACACTTGCTGAATTAAAGTGAATTACAAGGTGACTTTATAAGCCTAAACTAATTCTCTAGTGCCCTGAATTACAGGGTTACTTTATAAGCCTAAACTAATTCTCTAGTGCCACTAATCCCGCATGAGTCAGGTACTTAACAAATACTTTAAAATGTGGGGAGAATAGACAGTCTTTGGTCGCCGCAGGAAATGTCTACATCACAAGTGAGAGAAATCAGGCTCGATGGTCAGGAAGGAGGGCAGTTATTACAAGAGTGACTGTCACCATGGCAGCCCAGGTGGGAAATGAGAGCTTCCTCATTCAGACTTCAAAGAGTGGCTGGGCTGTCCAGCTGTTGCAGCGAAGTCGAGGGAGCCACAACCTCGCCTAGTGACCGTGGAGTCCCTGAGAGCCCGAGCAGCTCTGAATTAGGAAGGAAGCGGGGTCCAGACACGTCCAAGCTCTCTGCTCTCCTGCCCGCTGAGACCTGGCTGCTCCCTCTTTCTGATGACTCTAGTTAAAAGAAGGCAGCAGGGCCAGTGGGCGCCCCTCTCCCTTTGATCTTTCTCCCTCTCTATCCCTCTGGTGTCTGTGCTCTATAGCAAATTAAAAACAATAATAATAAATAAAGTTAGATGGATAATTCTTATTTAAAAAAAAATAAAATGTCGGTTGACAGAGGCCGATGGTGTCAGAACAGTAACAAAACCGGACCCACCTGGGAAAGGTCCTGGGTTCGCATACCGGGACTTCCCTGAGCACACCAGGTGTGCGTGCCCATGACCAAGGCCAGCTGAGACTGGGGACGCATTGTGGGGTGAAGACTCTGTTGGAGGTCTCTCTTTCTCTCTCTCTCTCTCTCTCTCTCTCTCTCCCTCTCTTTCTCTTTGTCTCTCTTGTGGAAGAAATAAACGGAAAAAAAATAAATAAAGTAAAATTAGATGGCAAACAGAAAACCCCAGATACCCCAGGAGGGGCCAACCTCCAGAGCAGGGCACAGAGGGGCATTTCCAAGCATAGACACTTCCTTCCAGACAAGGAAATCATCCTCTTCCCGACTGTGGTTTATCAAATGCTATGACTATTCCCTTCTTTTCACCAGGTTATTGATGATATCATTGCAAGTCAAGAAGAAGAGGAAAAAAACAAAAAGAAGAAAAAGAAGAAAAAGGAGAAGAAGCCTAAGAAAGAAAGGGAGAAGAAAGTAACAAAGGAGAAATACGAGGTAGAGAAATTGTATGGACTCGTAGAAATCTGCTTTTTATTTTTAGTGACTTACTTTGTTTTGAATCAATAGGACAATCTCAAATGTGTCGAGCCTGCATTTCCCAAGGAAACGTCCCATCTGCCCACCGTTGTTCCATTCTTTATGTTAATTGGCAGGCAGCTGCCCTGTCTTCTATGACTTTAAAATATCTATTAGCATAAGGAGCTGTTTCAACGACTCGATATTTCACACGCTTATTTACATATGTGATAGTTGGGCTGTTATTTCACCAAGTAAATTACCCCACTTGTCTTACCCAAGGGTAGAGAAGGAAAAATGCTTGGCAAACGAAGTAACCACTGGAAAGGCAAGATAATCATATCTAATTTAACCCAAGTGTGTTCATTCAAACTACAATTTAATATTGACATATTGGATGTATTTTAATGGAAATATTGGCTTCTTACTACCCAAAGAAAATGAGTTCTCACGGCGTCCCTTGGCCAGGTATTGTCCAGTGCAATGGGGCTGGAAGCAGAGGTGGTGGGCTTGCTGGGTGTTGTTATCTTGGGTGCTGTTACTGAGGATCCTCTTCTTCACACCTGTAAGAGAGGGGCACTTCCTGGGCTGCTGCGTACTCCCAGCATAAATAAATATGAGGGGTTCGAGGTGGAGCCCTAAAGGTTATGACCCTCAGTGACTCTGATCAGAAGGGAGACCTGACTGTAGCTCAGGCAGCAATGGCCCTGCTCCTCTCATTCCAAGACATGGTTCCACCCACACTCAGATGCATGAATTGCTCTGGGGGAGAACCCTCAGCAGAGCCTGGCAGACCATGTCTGGCAGCTCTGGTGCTGTGTTACCATGAGAGAGAAAGGGGACAGCTGAGTGATCTGGTGGGACAGGCAGTGGAGCAAGGGGTGAGAAGTTGTGAGTAAAGGAGAAAGGGCGACGTGAATACAAGTGACAGGGCCCAGCTCTGTGTAGATGATGGGGATGAAGGCCCACGTACGTCTTCTTAGAAACTTCTTGGCACCGCTGTGGTTGTTGAGCTAAAGGCCACTGTTCATTTTGCACCCTTGTTTCCTGCACTGTGATAGCAAAGAGCAGGTCTCTCATGGCCCCCATCTGTCATTGTCCCTTTCTGTAACCACTTTCCATTGTTGGTCACTGTGTGGACAAAAGGAGGCTCCTTCCCCTTATCTCGGGTACAACCTAGTCCCACTGGTAGTAGATGCTTCAGTAGGCACTTTGGATGCCCTTCAGGACCAAAGAAAGCACTCCAGCCTCAGCTACCCGGAAGCAGTGCTGACAGCCCACCACTAAGTCCCTTCCTAGAAATTGCCCTGGTCAAAGGGGCCACTCTAGGTGAAGTTACATCCCTCCAGGGGAAGCCCACAACCAAGGGTAAATCACATGATGATATCAAAACCCAGGCCTTGGTCATGGAGGTATAGGCAGCTGGATCGCATGGTCCACTGTGTGATTCAAGTCCCAGGCCCAACAGCTTGAGAAATACCCTTGGTGCATGTGTGGCATGCCCAAAATCTTGAGAGGAGAATGGAGGAGAAGGGATTGCAGTGTGGCCATCTCCCTAAGAGTACTTGCTCTCTCTCTCCCACCTCCCTCCCTTCCCACAAGTGCATGTGCCCTGTAGCAAATTAAACAAACAAACAAAACAAGACCCAGCCTCCCGCTACCTGGCAACTCTAACAGGTTCTCCTCGGTTCTGGGCTCTCTTGTGATCATATCAGCTTCCTCCTCTGACCAGGGCAGTCTTCCTTCCTCTCTTTCTCCCTTATGGGTGGCATTTTGGATAGACCACCGGCATGGATTTGATCTGAGTGTTTCCAGGGAACAAGACCCATGAGACCAACCAATGTCCTATTATTCTGCCTGTATCCCAAACAGTCTAACTTATTCTAGCAAAGAAGAAAAGAAATCTCTCTCAATAGAATTCATTTTTTAAATCTACACTCTACAAGACAATTTGGAGAAGTGCCCACAAATAAGGAGAATTGGAAGAATTTCAATTTTATTCTAAGAATCTCTTTCTGTAAGTATGCATAAAGGAGTTTTACACTTGCAAATTAATTAACAATTCACTGCTAGTGAAACTTGTTCCATGTAAATCTGAAATTACCAGCTACACAATCTGGTCTTTGTTGGCTGAAGGCATTTTATTAACTAACTATTAAAGAGTCACTTAATAAGGAACAGTTTCCGACAACAAGCAAAGTTTGAGAACATCAGCATTTATGAAATACCTGTAAACAAAAGGGGGAAATCTCTCAAAAGTACTGAGAAATGAATGTATTTGTGAGGACAGACCTACAAAGTAACACTGTGATTATTAAAAGAAGAAATGATGATCCAGGGCCATCACAGCTGATTAGAAGGACCCAGCGATCCTCTCCTCCACAAAGAAGGAACGAAAAATTAAATAAATACAGCACGTGGGATGTCTGAGGAGGAGCCCGGGAATCCAGCAAGCTTGAAACCTTCTGACACACGCTCAAGGTGACAGCCTGTAGAGAGAAAAGCAAAACGCCAGGCCGAGAGTGGCCAGCTAAAGCCAAGAAGGCTCCTCACCCCAACTCCACTGCTGGGAACAGCCCCGGCAGTCCCTGTTCCCACCATGGATGGCTGCACTTCTGCTGCCTGAGGGCCACACAGTACTCACAGAA